CTTACCATTAGTGTTTTGAAATCTACGACCTCTTCTGTATTTATTTGTTTACACTGTGGAAGTAGCTACGGCTTGGTGGAAGCACAAGTTTAGTCAGACGCCCTGGGGAAAACCCTGCAGCTCGCTTCCATTGTGAGCTTCTCCTTCTCAGCATTGCGATAACTAAACGATTTCATTGGTGTATGTGGAAGTGCTGAGTACAATGCCTAGATTTGTCACTTATCAATAAATGTGATTCTAATGACTGGATGTAGGAGGGTATTCCAAATGTCATGGAAAAAGAGCATTGAAAGATAATATGAATCTTTCCATGAACTTTTTGAAGTACCCTCATGTATATATTTGCATTTGTGTGTGTGTATCTGCCTAGATATGAGTGTAAATCCCAATTTTTAATGTGGTCAAATCAATTAATCTTTTATGTCTTGGGTTTGTTATAATTCAGAAAAAGGCTTTTTAATTCTGAGATTCTTAAAAATTCTCTCATGGGTTCTTTTTTACTTCCAAGGCTTCATTATCTTCAGTTAAAGTTTGGAACTTTGGGGATTTTATGCTTCTATAAATAAGTTTTGAGGTTTGGATCCATCTTTTCTTCCAGTTGGTCATCCACTTATTGCAACCCTTTCATCCTGTAAATGTACAGGTTGTTTTTTAATTTCAAGGAAAATTGTGATATGTCATTTTATTTGGTGCTAGCTGAAGGTCTTCTTTGTTTTACTCAGGTTTCTGATAGTCATCAAAAAGATCTGTTGCATAAAAATCACATGTTGCAGGATGAACTTGCCATGCTAAGACTGGAGAGAGACAGAATAAAAAATCAATTTCAGGAGAAAGAAAATAAACATTTCAAGGACATTGGAATTATACAAAGAAAGAATGAATACCTTCAAAAGATGATAAAATGGAATGAGGAAACATCCACAAAAACAATATCCCAGTATAGTGGACACCTTAATGTTCTGAGAGCTGAGAATGCAATGCTAAATTCTAAACTGGAAGATGCAAAACAAAACAATGAAAAACTGGAAACAGACATTGAGTCATACCGTTCTAGACTGGCTGCTGCTATCCAAGATC